TTTAAAATGTAATAGTAGTGTAACTTTTTCAATTACTTTATTATAGTAATGTAACTGATTACTTTTGTTTGCTGTTTGATTAATTTTATAAATTTCTAATGAATGTTTATTTGCAACTGTTAATCATTTTCAAACATTTACACCCTGCAGGGTTAACCTTACAGTAGTGCTCAACACTGTCAGACTTTCAAAATCCTTCCTCACTTGAATTAAGATGATCAAATTTGAACACAAATACCGCCTTTTACTTTGAGATTGATCTGAAGTTCAATGCAGATTTAAAATCATAAGAAATAGTTTACTGATACTGTTTTTGAAACCAAATATTTGCATAACTACAGGAAACACTGCATCTAACAATGGTTTGGAAAAAAAATTGCTAATTAAAAATAATAATAAATAAAAGCATATGCATCAACTCAAATACGGTTATCTAATAAGCATGTGTCCTATTCTGTCTACTAAACTCCTGAAACATTGGTGTCTTTTTGAAATCTTCAGTAGGCCTGTGTGTAGTAAATTAAACCACATGTCTGCGCCATTAATTTCCATGAGGGGCGGACTGGGAAAACACTGAACAGGAGTACAGTAACCATGTTTTTGCCCAGAACAGAACCATACCGCCAAACCAAACTTTATGCTAAGTATCTATCATTTTGACGATAGTGGTCCTGACAGAAACCATGGTTAATTTGTGGTTACCATGGTTTGATAATTGTAACCATTGTCTTTGGATTTATAGTAAAATCATCATTCATTTCATAAGGGTTGTGTTGTAAGGGAGCCCTAGCTCCCCCTAAACCTGTTATACAGTATGATTATTTGTCTGCTAAATTACTACTGTAACATTACAATAGATAATAATGAAGTCCTTTATGCAGTATTTTGAGTGATGACTGATGAGCAATGGGCTGCTGCTGCTTAACTAAGTAAACAAAGACAAAACTACAATAGCATATTTACAGATGAAACTGACCTGCACTTTAAACCCTGAACAGGGTTTTGCTTCTCTGCTCCACCTGTGCGCTTCCACGGTCCACTTCATTCTCTTTCTCGCATTGATTACTCTGATCCAAACCGTTTGGCGGAGGCGCGAGCCGAAGCATTGCCAGTCACGACTAACCGATTCATGATTTATTAGATATTTAATTATCGAATGGCAAATTCGGAAATAATCGCTTTAGTACATTTGGAAGGCAACTATACAATAATAATATTAAAAAAGCGGGCCAAATCGGCTGCCAGGCCACCGGGAATTGTCCCGGTTCTCCCGATGGCCAGGTTCCAGACACGCAGAACGTGCAGGATTCATACGTTGTCTTTTTGCGGCTTAATATTTGCAGACACTAGTCCATATCGCGTTTTGATTCAAGTGTACTGACCTACTTTTGATTTATTCGTCCAAAATGTGGCATATTCCATCCGCATTAGGCTATAGGAATTCCGTTTTTATGACTGGATTGTAAGAACCAGTCTGTGTTTTCCACATCACGGAAATGATAAATTATAGTAAACAGTGCAATTTGGGAAAGAAATCAATTAAATCTGTATGTGGATTTGTGTAAATATTCAAATGAAATCCCATGTGTAATTGTTAACATTTTCATAAGTAACTGTAATTTAAATACACATTTTTTCTTAGTAACTGTAACTGATTACAATTACATTTATTTAGTAATTAAATTACGTAACGTCGTTACATGTGACTAGTTACTCCCCAACACTGAACACCAGTAACATCATTGTGATGGCAACTTTTGCATGGGCTTCACTCTGAATAAAGTGTAAATATCTACTTTAAACCATTTATTGGTGGTTAACACAGCTGAATTCATGGCAAAATGATTTAACTTTCATGTTCCTGCAAAACAAACCTGCAACTTCCAGTGTACCACTGCATGAGAAAGAAGAAAGTTCCTATGTGATAAGAGTTTATTTCTTTGTATTCAAGGTCAGTACCATGTGCTCTCTGAAATCTTGAGTGTCTTGATTTTTCAACTTTCATATACTTGCAAACACGCTCGCACACACACACACACACACACACACACACACACACACACAAAGACTTATATTTCTGTGTGCATTGAATGAACAGTGCATATTTTGCCTCGCTTTCTCTCTTTCTCTCTAAATGTGTGGCTAGTTTCAACCCCGCTGGTCATGAGACATAGTTTACTTTTAGACTAATCAGTGTCTTCTCAAGTTTAACTTTACCCCCACACACACACACACAACACACACACACACACACAACACACTCACACACACAACACACTCACACACACAACACACTCACTCACTCACGTTTTTACATTCTTATATACTCAAACACACTCGCGCACACACACACACACACACACACACACACACACACACACAAAGACTTATATTTCTGTGTGCATTGAATGAACAGTGCATATTTTGCCTGCGTCTCTCGCTTTCTCTCTAAATGTGTGGCTAGTTTCAACCCCGCTGGTCATGAGACATAGTTTACTTTTAGACTAATCAGTGTCTTCTCAAGTTTAACTTTTCCCAGATTATCTTTCAAATGCCTGTAAGTCCTAAATGTAGAATGTAAACACGTGCCCATACTTGTTGAACTCTCATGACTGATGTCACCCATAGACCTCAGCTCAAACCAGTATTTCACCTATTCATAAAATGGCTTACAAATACTCATATCAGATCCCCAATCAGCAATTCACCTTAGACTCTTCAAAATTGCCCATTATTGTCTCATTTTCAAAAGGTACCATTTAAATTATGGCTGTGTATTGGCAATAATCTGGCGATATGATACCACGATACAGGGGTAGTGATGCAATATGTTGCTATACACTGCGATACTGTAAGCAAGGCGATATATTGGGATATTTCTTATTTTATAAATAGGATATATTTTTTAGGAAAGCTGTCATTAAGAACACACCACCATATGCAAACCTTAGCAATAAATAAATACAAATTATTTAACCAGAACACCGTGGGATCTGCATTTGCAATAATCAATCCCTGTAACATTCAATGTTATTGAACCACTTTTTGTGCAGTACGAGTAAAGGGGGGAAAAATGAAAGGATCCTTTAGTTAAATGTATATGTATAAAATGTATTTTATAAAAATACCATATTTTAGACCCTGCTTTAAAGGTTCACGGTTTAAGTTTACAATTGTAACATACAATGTCATTTGATTTTTTTACCGAGAACCGTTGCACCCCTAATGGTAATGTTGCAATTTTAAGATGACACATGAACAAAATATAAGATGAAATACTAACGTCGTGCTCGAAAGTTCACTTCTTAAAAGAACAATGATGTCATTATTATAGCAAAGTTTTGTATATTTATATGAGGGATGCAGATGGAACGCATTTGGTCAAATGACCCACAGTTTCCCTTGGTTTTGTTTTCCCCTGCAGTATTTCCAACTTTTATGAGTGGCGTGATTAAGCACAGTAGTTCAGAGTTACTTCCTCTTTGCTAAGGTCTCTCTGTAGGAGGTAATTACCTGTTTTGCCAGTCATAAATAAGCGAGAGAGAGAGAGAGAGGGAGTGGGGGAAAGAGGGAGGTGAAGGTATGTGGTTTAGTATATGTTTGTGCAGGGAGCAAGACCAACAGGACAGCACAGCACCTCACGGCGAGGAGAAATATATCTACTCTGGGTCTCTTACGACAGGTTTGTTAAAGACAACAGAACTCATGGACTCTCAAGGGACACGTTTGCCTCAGAGTTATTCACGGGTCAGGAAAGCTTCTGTTATGAATGGCCTCTCTAGAGCTAAACAGGAACTGAAAGTGCTCATGGATGCATAGCCCTTCCGAGGAAGCATATGCGGGGTTGATATGTAAGAAGAGCCGATTGTCTGGTCAGGTGTTAAGGAAGTAAAGACAAAGAAAATATGAATGAAACGCAGGGGGTGAGGTAAAGGGGGTAGTTAAACAAAAGTATGAGTAATAGCATGTGCAAGAAAGCTAGTCTTTAGAGAAAAGGAAGGGGTGAGAAGGAGGGGTTTGAGTGTTGACACATCATTCTCAGCTGGAGGGGGTAAAAGAAGGTCACCAGGGAGACAAAAGGCCAAGGGCCTGTCAAAACAAGACACATTTGACTGTGGGGCATGCCGTATTCAGGGTTGAGAGACAAAACCACTATTGTTTTAACTGGGGGCAATGGATTCATCTTCTACGTGACAGATACTCCTGAAAGCCGTTGCAGGGAAAACATAGAAACCCATTCGTTTACTACTAATTGCCTGCCTGGTTTATTGTAGCTTAATTCAAGTGCCATCATATGGGCACACTCACACTGGATCCCACATTGTTTCCATTAATAGGTGCTTGAGGCTGTCACCGAGTTTACCAATGAGAAATAATTAGGATAGAGTGGTGTGGGAGGGTTGGCAGTCAGGATCAGAGTCGGGGGGGATCCACCATCATTACACATGCGAGGAAAGTCTACATCCGGAGCTCTTGAAGGCCTAATGCTGCCTGTAAACATCACTGCCATGCTTGTAATTAGTTCTGTTTGTCGACGAAGGTGGCGTTTAAAGTACTCTTGTTGAATTGGCATGCTAGCTGTTTTGACGCACTCGACTGTAGCGTGAAAACCCGAGTCGAGTCAATGAGCTGTTGTGACTTCTGTTAGAGTTGATAGTTTTCGTGATGCATATTCGAAATAAATACCAAAACACATGGAGAGATTCCATATGCTATTAATTAATTTAAATAAATATTTTGGTTACGTTTTATTTTAAGGTGATGTTGTTACAATGTAATAACACAGTACTAGGTAATCTTAATTAAATGCATATACTTACTATAGGGTTAGGGTTCGGTTTAGGGTTAGTTATTTACACATGAAATTGGTGACTGTCACCTTAAAAGAAGTTTGGTTTTAATATTGGTAAATTACCAAAGTATTGCAAAATTTAGTGCATTAAATATCATTCTTAGCACGGATTGTTTGACTTGTTTTTGATGTCCTTGTCTTTCTGCAGCGGGGAATGGGCAGTCGGTGCAGACGGACCCCAGTAAGTCTGGATTCGTGGGTGACACGGTCGAACTGCGATGTGTCTTCATCAACGGTAAGCCACCAGTGAAGATCTCTCAGGTCACCTGGCAAAAGCTGATAAATGGCACCAAACAAAACGTCGCCACCGCTAACCCAGACTTGGGAGTATCAGTGCTGCCCCCTTTCAAAGACCGTGTGAGCTTCAAGCATCCTGCTGTGCGCCAGAGGTCCCCTTCTACTCTTGAGGATACCACCATTGTGTTCAGCAACCTACGGCTATCTGATGAGGCGGCCTACATCTGCGAGTACACCACCTTCCCAGCAGGCAACAGGGAGAATATGGTCAACCTCACCGTCTTTGGTAAGACCACCATACTGGCAGCTGAGACCGTACATATATAGTGCTGTTCTCCTGTGAAAAGAACACATTCACAGGGCATCAATGGGCCTCATTCATGAAACATGAGCAGAATACATTTCTGTGTATGTCATTCATGAAACAATTCTGAAATTACAAGCAGATCAAATTGTGTAATTTGTTCAAAAACATTTATATTCCATGCTAAAATTTGTGTAAGTTATTCACATTAAATGGTACAATTTATGTAAGATTTTTTATACAAAAATTTGCATTGAATGTAATAAATAAATAAATAAACAGTAAATTACGAACAGTTAAAAAAAAAAATGCAGTGCAGTGCCAAAACACTGGTTTGCACTGAGCAGCAAGTTCTCTGCACACATATAACCCCGTGGAGGACAGCACAGAAATAGGTGTCATTTTCTTGAATATTCTCCGCACTCTTAGCACTGACATGGTGAGAGATTTTTGATTAAAGGTGTCATCATGGTTAGCAGATAGTAAGGTGTAAATGGATGTTGTTTCAGCAATATTTTATTCATAACCCTGTAAGCCCTTCAGAAAAATCACCTTTGTCCTTGACCACTCCAGGTCTGTGAGGTGCTTGGTTAAAACCTTCACTACGCTTGAAATGTATTGATCAGTGCTCAGCACAATAGAAAGAGCTACACCCTAGCCTCGACCTTCAGATATAATGCATTCATGCATGTTTTTCGCTACACACACAAGTGAAGATAAGCTATCATTTTATTAAAGGAATCCAACATTGTATTATTTTCTTACTTCTTTGAAACGCAAAATCCGAAGTTAAGCAGAATGTCCAAGCTGCTCTTTGACAACAAAAGTGGATGGTGTTTTATACCCAAAAATACCATTAGCACTGTAAAAGTAGTACATATCCAGATCTTCTGATGCTATACAATAGATCAGGATTTCCCGAAATGGGGTTTGTGTGTTGATGAAAAGCTTATAATTCATGAAATAAAAACAAACTGTAAAATTAAAAGAAAGAACACTTGCTAATAAATATGACATTATTTATTGTATGCATGCATGTCATTTAACTATTAAACACAATCAAAGTAAACATACACGTGTTGTCAAATAATGTATATAATGTAGTATAATGTAACTATGTAAATAGTGTAGTTTCATTGACATACTATTATATTTTTTGTTAATATTTTGAATCAGTTTTATTTTTATATTTGCTGTTTTCATTTTAATTTTAGTTATAGTTTTAGCAATTATGTTGTGTGTTTTTGTCATTTTTATTATATTTATTTTATTTTTAATGTGCATTTAAGTTTTTGTTATTAGTTATTAGCTGCACAGGTTAAGAAGAGCAACATAATGTATGTGCATTTGTGTGTGTGTGTGTGTGTACTCGTTTTTGTGACAAATGAGGACATAAATTTGTATAATGACAAAGGTATGACATAGGTATTACAAGGAGAAGGTGACTTTTCAGGACATTACCCCAAGTCCCCACTTTTCAAAACGCTTATAAATCACACAGAATGGAGTGTATTGAAAATCTGAAATAGCACAAAGTCTCCTGTAAGGGGTAGGTTTAGGGGTAGGGTTGGTAAAGGGCAATACAATATACGGTCTGTACAGTATAAAAACCATTACGCCTATGGGATGTCCCCACTTTTCACAAATGTAAACCTGTGTGTGTGTGTGTGTTGGAGTGCAAGAGAGGAGTATCTTAGAGAGGTGGGTTATGCTCCCACTGATTGTAGATTTAATTAGAAATGAAGTGTTGATATGTTTTCCATTAAGCCAGCAAAGGGAGCTGCTTGGCTCAAGTACAGTTTTTTTTTTTTTTACTAGTGTGGCTTGTTTACTCCCAAGCCCATTTTGTATATCACGTTCACATGCATGCGTCTTCTGAGAACGCTGGCAACATGAATGGAGATAACCAGCTCAATGTTTTCAAAGAGCCTCTTCATGTCATATCAACCCTCGACACAAACCTCAGTCCTGCTATCAGCACTCTTTGACATGCACTCACATAAACACACATCTTCCCTTTTGATGCAGGCCTGTTAATTGCTAATTGGCAGCCCATAAAGGATCGAGATTGGATGACTTTGGGCACTGCAAGAAACGAGTGTTTTCTACATCTGTTATTTGAGTGCTTGACTGATGCTTTCGCTTTGAACACGGGTTAGGGGAAAAATACATTAGTGAACTGCTTGATTTATACTGACGGGGAAAAAACGACTTTTCAGAATGGCGAGATTAGTGTTAGAGGCACTGGATCAGTGAGAAAAATAAAAAATTTTTTTTTTTTACTTCACAACTTCTCAAGGGCACATTTGTTGCTCCTGTTCACACAGTACTTTAGTATATTACAGTGTTTCTTTTCTTGTTTTTTTACTGCTTACTTCTTTCTTCCAGCACGGCCAGTGACCAAGATGACCTTGACTTCACCCACCATTGTGGCAAGGATGCCGAAACGCAAGATGCCTGTGGCCACCTGCATGTCGGCTAACGGCAAACCTCCCAGCATCATCAAATGGGACACCACTCTGAAGGGTGAAGCCACGTTTCAGGAAACGCGCAATCCAAATGGCACCGTGACCGTGCGCAGCAACTACATCGTGTTGCCCAGCCGCGAGACCCACCGTCAAAAGCTGACCTGCATCGTCACCTACCGTACAGACCGCTTTACTGACAGCGTCATACTCAATGTTCAGTGTAAGTTTTTCTTCGTGTCTCCAACATTAAAAAAAATAATTACATTGATAGGTATGTATAACATATTCTACCATTAAAAAAGTTTGGGATAATGTTAAATGTTTTTGAATGAAGTATCTTATGCTCACCAAGGATTTAAGCATCTATTTGATCAAAAATACAGTAAAGCAGCAATATTGTGAAATATTATTACAATGACAAATAACTGTTTTCTGCTTTAATATATTTAGAAAATGTATTCCTGTGATAAAGCTGAATTTTCAGCATCATTACTCCTGTCTTCAGTGTTACATGATTCTTCAGAAATCATTCTAATATACTGATTTACTGCTTAAGAAACATTTCTTATTATTGTCAACGTTGGAATCAGTTTTTGCTTTTTGGTATTTAATAGAGAAGAAATCATAAATTGTATTAATCAAGGATACGTTAAATTGATCAAAAAAGACAGGAAAGGCATTTATAATGGTACAGAATAGTTTTGTTTTTAAACAAAGGCTGTTCATTGAATTTTCTATTCATTAAAGAATCCTGGAAAAAATGTAGCATGATTTATATTTATTTATTTATGTATTTGTTTGTTTGTTTGTTTTAAACAAATGCAGTATGGTGACTTCTTTCAAAAAAACATGAAATAATCTTAAATATTCCACACTTTTGATCAATATCGTATATAATATACTATATAATTTAAAGTATGTGTATATAATATATATATATATATATATGTGTGTGTGTGCATATGTATATGTATATGTGTGTGTGTGTGTGTGTGTCCAGTATTATCTCAAAATTCTGATTTCATTCAACTGATTTAATGATTGAGCTGATGAGCTGACGATCCATCTGACTTGTCTAATTAGTGACATATTTATATAAAACCCCACTGGAATATCAAAGAATGTCTAAACAATGCATACAAATGTAATAGGATGTTAGCATTTATGCTGTACTGTTACGCAAGTTCTGCGGAGGAGGTTCGGAGTAGGAAGAGATGTGTCACTAGCCTGTCTCAGCCGCTGTTGTTATCAGCTATTGTTTAGGGCAGTTTAGAGCAGTACTGCATATATCAATATATATATATATATATATATATATATATATATATATGCTTAGAGGAGTTCACATGCATGCTGAACACTTATTGCCTGATTTTCTTTACTATCTAATCCATCCAAAAAGCAAAATTTTTTAAGAAATGCATAATTTATATTTGTCTACAAAACTAATGTCAAGCATTTACTCACAAGCCTTTAGATCAAAAGGTTTGTAAGGTTTTCAAGATCATGAGGATCAGTATGTCCAAACATTTGACTGGTTGTGTATATCGGCATCATTAAATGAAATAAAAGATGATCGATGTTTGAAGAGTACTCCTCTGAAATATTCCATTTACTGTAATATTACATGACAGCATAGATGTGTTATGACTGATAAGAGAATAATTTCCTTCCGTAAACTACTTTTTCATTCATTGGTGGTTAGCACTCAATCAAGATAAGTAAAGCCGTTTACAATGGCTCTATTCAGAACTCACTGAGCCATTGATAAACCTTCAATCAAGATCAAGCATGAGAAAATAAGCTATGCTTTGTGTACTTCTGAATGTTTACCTTACCAATATGCCGGTTTTAAAGAACAGTGAAAGAGATATACAGCGAGATCGAGTCTTGTTTGTCAGTATGGGTCTTGTGATGGCTATTGTTGTACTGGTGCTACAGGTTTGGATGCAAAGTAAGTTGGCAAAAAAATGACATCATTGCTTTGCCTACCAAATTAATATGATGACAGGACAGTCTCAGGACTGTTTTATAAACCTTTCTGTGGACAATGCTGGTGTTTGTGTGAGGTCAAGGGCATATAAACCATTACTCATTAATCATTTTAACTTTTATTAATAATTATATGCCCCCACACATATTATATTAACTTTTTTTTTTTTTTGCAGTGGCACACATATCTTTAGCCAACTAGAAATGTGTATTTGTGACATTTGTGTGTTTAGTTGAGGATGTGTGGTTTGGAGAAATATTTTCCCTCATAATATGCAAACAAGAACCTTTATTTCGGATGCGATTAATCACGATTAATCGTTTGACAGCACTTAATATTATTATTATTATTATTATTATTATTATTATTATTATTATTATTATTATTATTATTATTATTATTATTATTATTATTATTATTATTATTATTATTATTATTATTATTATTATTATTATTATTATTATTATTATTATTATTAATAATAATAATGATTAAAATATAAAGCAGCAAACAATAATAATAATAATAATAATAAATATTATTATTATTAGAATAACAATCACAACATGATTTTAATAATACTTTATGCTACAATTTAATTATGTACAGAAACAAGTTCACCCTGATTTCAGACAGCTCATTAACTCATAATTATCTTAAACAAACAAGCAGATACATACATACTTACATGCATACATACATAACATAGTTAGTTAGTTAGTTAACCATTGAAATGGCTGTTGGCAGGTTTTAGAGCTTCCACACTTGGGCCAAGTGGACACAGCAAGCTGATGCCGATTAATTGGCCTAACCTATCAGCCTATCACTGATTACATCACCTAATTCATATTCATGAGACAAGCTGATAAGGTTTCTAATGTGTTGTTCCAGATTGTTCCTGCGCCCTTGGGTCAGGTCCACTCTGTAAGATGACCAATGTAACCTTCTGCTTGAACTCCCTTGTGCAGCATTATAATTCAGTACCTTGGCATTGGCGAATGTGCCACACTTATATGCCAATTAGCACGGGCGAAATGTCCCATCATTCATCACCCGGCAAATTCCCATGAACGCATGTGTATGTAAATGTGAACAATACCGACACCACCAACAATGTTGGACACAGTGGATGAGCAAGTTGTGTGTTACAGTTAAAAATGGAGGAATTATGCAGCAAAAAACAGAGAGATAAATGTGGCAATTTGTTCAGTAATTAGGCTGCGAAAGCTGGGAAAGGAAAACATGTCACCGGACTTCAGCTGTGGTGGATTAATAGCTGGCAATGCCCAGGGTGCACTGCCTCTGTGGACCGGGGTGGGTTTTAATGAGAAAGGACAAGAGAGAGAGAGAGAGAGAGAGGAAAGCGCTGAGCATTCTGGGCTATTCAGGGTATCAAAGGACACATATACAGCAGCCAACTCTGTGAAGAGGGACTCATGGATGGCGCTAAGGTCTTCTTGAGGCATTTTTTTATTAGTAATTGATATACTGAGACTGGAAGTAGAATGAAAGAGAAGAAAAGGAGGGAATGAAATGAGGAAAATGGGGATTGAGAAAGGAAAATATGAGGTACAATAAAGTGAGAACAGGAAGGAGGTTCTGGTTTGGTGCTTGTCGGTATTAAAGTTGCCCGCAAGGTGTAAGGTGGTGGTGTTATTGGTTGCTATGCCATTGCTAAAGGGTTCTGAGTGATGGTTGCTAGGTGGTTATTTACTGGCCTGAATCAAAATAGCCCACCCCATGTCATTATGTGTGTGTCTCATTGATGTGAATCATATCGTGTCAGAGTTATTATAGTTAAAGAGATCACCCAAAAATGAAAATTTACTCATCCTCAAATTGTGGGTAAATGAGTTTCTTACTTCTGTTGAAACCAAACAGTTGACAGTATGGAAAAAAAAAATTCTGTGGAAGTCAAAGGCTGCTGTCAACAGTTTGGTTACCAACATTCTTGTTTATTATTATTATTATCATTATTATTATTATTATTATTGTGTTCTACATGTTCTACTGTATTCAGTTTTGGGCGAACTATCTAAAACCATTTAAAGAAAAAGACACTTGACACTTGAAATACATTTTAACTGAAATAAAATTGCATATTAGGAAACGTTAACACATGGACTGATTATGCATTGGTGTCTTTTATCGTTATGCTGTTGTCAGTGTTTCATAAAAGCAAAGCTACTCAATTGTTACAGTGATTTTACCATGGTAAATGGTGTCATTAGGTATGATGCAAAGCAGAGCAATGACTACTAAAAGTTCAATTACAAAATGTATAACCATCACCAGCACACACCACTACGTCTATCCTCAGACAATTTCATGCAAAACAACTCCTGGCTTGGGTTGTATTGTTTTTCAAATGCTTTTTTTTTGTCTTTAAGCAGAAGTCATCTGTTTTCTTCCTAAACTGTTCCTGTAATATTCATAACCTGGTTGAGGACAGGGCCTGTGAGACCGATTTCAGCCCAAAAACGCAGAAGGTATAATGTGTTTCCCTAAATGCTGACTGCTGCAAAGCAATCTGATGAGATCCAGCAGATAGAAGACGTGAGGAGAGATAGCTAAGGAAATATGTCACAATAAGCTGTCTGAAGATAAACTCTGAGTGTGACTGTTCTGCTCGCCTTATGATATATTTATGGTAAGAATCTCTCTGGCATGTTTTGATAGCTGGGAAATTAACGCAAATCTGAAACTGAAAGTGTGTGTAGCTGTGTGAGAGAGAAAATGTGTGTAAGTAGTCACATCATATTTCAATGTGAAATCTGAAATAGGATTGATATTTCATATAGTCGTGCTTAGCCAGACTTCGAGTTTCAGCATAAAGTCTGGCCCAAATAGTTGCTTATTTCAGCCAAGAATCACCCACTGTCTGGATGACACGTAAAGCGATCAGTCGCAGTTCCCAGTTTCGTTAAAGCAAAGGTCATCTTAAATAGTTTTTCTTGAAATAGTAATAGCCAGCCAATCAGATTAGAGCTTCCCAGATCATAACATAGCTTTCCAGTTGTGTGCAATTTGCATCGAACGGTTACTGAGAAGACTGTGGCTGCTTTAATTAAGGCTGAAACAAAATTTCTTAAAGTCTGTGTGAACCGGAAATTGCGACTGACTTGTTGCAAAGATTCAATGGTCTTAAAGTATTGTAACATATTTCAGAATGAAATCTCGACTTCTTGACTCGACTTTACAGTATTTTAACGGTATTTCCGAATGAAATGCAATATTGAATGAGAAAAAAAAAAAAAACAGTGCAGGGTTTGGTTTTAGTGCACCTCCTTGCCATCTCTAGCTCACAGCAGACCGAAGACTGGAGGGGAGGTGTTAAGGATATTCTGCCCAATCAGAGATTAAATGCAATTTGAATAAAGATTACAGAGACAAAACATGTCTTTATATTATTAACCTGCACAAATTGTTCACCACAAGACTAGTGATATGCACTATCAAAGTAATAGGCTTCAGTTTATTTCATGCAAACTTTAATGCTAAAGTGTGTAATTTTTTATGTTAAAATACTTTATTGTAAGTCAAAAAAAAAAAAAATGTGCACATCCCAAAAAACCCAAAGGCTCAGGTGCAGGACAAAAAATAAGATCAATACAAACAAAGGTCAGTGTCTGACGAAGACCTGATGGTCGAAACGTTGTACCAATAAATTCCTTGGGAGCAGTCTTGTCAGTGTGCAGACAATTTTTTGTTTTAGTAAAATACTTTCTTGTACCCTTATATACAGAGGAAATATTTTGCACGTTGACTGAAAAACGGAAACACTGTGGCACTTTCAAAACATTACTATGTTTGTTTAAGAATCCGACCAGCCTGACATAGCAACAGCGGCTCAACCAATAGCGTGAGTTTTGGGCGTGTCTATGCATTTTATCAACCAGTGGCAGATCTTGGAAATGTTTGGGAAACCTGCAAAAACGTTCCATTTGGTGAAGCTAATGGTTCCGAAATTACGCAAGTCACACAGACTCTGTGTTCTTCCCTGTGCATTTTCAGAAGGGCATTTGTGTAATATTTATGCATAACTTAAAGGGCTCATATGATGTTGCTAAAAAAACACATTATTTTCCACATACTGTACATTATTGTTTCTCCTCTATGCCCCGCCTTTTTGAGACGTGTCGATTTTTACAAAGCTCATCGGTCTGAAAAAGTGAGGTGTGCTGTGATTGGCCAGCTATCCAGTGCATTGTGATTGGCCGAATACCTCAAGCGTGAGACGGAAATGTTACGCCCCTCACATATTGTTGATGCCGTGTCCCGGCCGGAGCAACGAGACAAAAACATTAAAACCCATTACAAACGAGGTATTTGTTGCATCCAGTGGGGACATAATTACTGATTATAATGACTTATACTGTCTTTTTACGCATTGCGTTGCATTGCATTGTATCGCGCCGCGTAAACATAAAACTCTGTCTGCATTTGTTATCAGAGAAATGACAAACAACAAGTGCTACTCTACTGCCAAAAACTCGTGTTTGAATCATCAGTGTCAAATCGTTTAAATGAAAACGTACTTACAGACTGTGAGTCAGAACTGCCGACATTTTAGTCTAACGTTACTTTCCCAGGATCAGTAAACAGTCCTCCATAAAATGCGCTGGACACATCTGAATATTTGGGTTAAACTGTTCTGGAACAGTGTTGTAAATACAACTTAACCACTGATTTGTAGTCGTGTCCTCTTTTGGAAGACCAAACAAAGTAGTTTTGCTTTCACAACGAAAAACACAGTGGCCTAGCGTGAGGGGAAGCCCCGGCTTAGCGTGCACTGAGGCCGGGCTAGCGTGAGCTGAAGCGGTGGGCTTGAGAACGGCGCAGCCGGCGATTCGACGAAGGAGCGTCCGGAAGGACATGTGACAACTCCAGGCTGGACTCCGCTTCCTCCACGGTGAAAGCCGATCTGGCGATCCACAGCGCAAAGTTGTAGTATTTCTTCA